AGATCTCTCCACACTGCTTCTCATTCTCAACTCTTATGTAAACAGGGCTAAACCCCCCACCCCCTGCCCAGATATCAATGTCCCTGCTACAAGATAAATATAGGCTTCCATGAAATTTCCTTTGCCAGATTAATTAGCAACACTGACTCACATGCCTTCACCTCTAGCCTGCCCATCATCGTCACGGACTACAGTAGCCACACGAACCTCTCAGATTCAGGAACCTCAACTAAAGACTTTTTTTTTTTTTAAATCTGCCTTAGCCAGTGTCTCTCACTCAGGCTTGTTTCTCATGCTGTGATTTATGAGCCCATTTACAGCCATGGCCTGTTGTCTTAGTCAGGCTTTCTATTGCTGTGAAGAGACACCATGACCACTGCAACTCTTATAAAGGAAAACATTTAATTGTGGTGGCTTGCTTATAGTTTCAGAGGTTCAGTCCATTATCATCATGGTGGGGAGCATGACAGAGTGCAGGCAGATGTGGTGCTGGCTACATCTTGACAAGAAGGCAACAGGTGGTCAACTGTGACACTGGGCACAGCTTGAGCATAGGAGACCTCAAAGCCCACCTCCACAGTGACACACTTCCTCTAACAAGGCCACACCCACTCCAACAGAGCCACACCTCCTAATAGTGCCACTCCCTATGAGCTCATGGGGACCAATTACCTTCAAACTACCACACCTGTCATTTCCATGATGCCAACAAGGAAGCCCATACCCACCTTTCTTGGCCTCTCTCCTGCTTCACACCAACTTTCTTGCTTTCTTCACTAATTCTGTTTGCTGTTGCTGCTTCCTGTCTTGTTTGCTGTATTACAGACCCCCTTATGCCCTCACACCCTAGAGCTGACTTTCAAGGCATCATGGAGATAAACACAGAGTGATAGGAAAGTAGTTGTGGTGGTTTGAAAAAAATGGCTCCCAAAGGGAGTGGCACTATTAGGAAGTGTGACTTTGTTGGAATAGGTGTGGCCTTGTTGGAGGAAGTGTGTCACTGCGGAGGCGGGCTTTGAGGTCTCATATATGTTCAAGATACTGCCTGGTGTCTCAGTTCACTTCCTGTTACCTGTGTGTGGATCAAAGATGTAGAATTTCAAGCTCCTCTTCAGCACCATGTCTGGCTGCTTCCATGTCCCACCATGACAATAATGGCATAACCACAGAAACCGTAAGCCATCCCATCAAATGTTCTCCTTTATGAGGATTGTCATGGTCATGGTGACTCTTCACAGCAATAGAAACCCTAAGATAGTAGTAAGTGGCAGTTAATTAAATGGGTCTTTCTCTTCCTTTTATTCTAATTAAACATTATTTATCTATAAATGATGCCAGATTTTTAGTCTAGACCCCCACATGCTAGGCAGGCACTCTAACCCTGAGCTCAGGCAGGCACTCTAACCCTGAGCTCAGGCAGGCACTCTAACCCTGAGCTCTACCCTCAGACCCTCTCCTTCTCTTTTGCTACCTTTATTACCCTCCTCTCTCGCTTATGTTCTCACATGGTGCAAACATCCCAGTACTTTCAGAGGAAGGCAGAACTGAACACCAGGCTCGTTTCCTCCTCACTGCTGTCTGCCCTACCACAGCTCCTGCCTCTCCGGTTTCTTCTCCAACTCTTGTTGACTTCCTGGAACATCAACACAGAATTTTTCTTTCTAAAACACTTCTTCCCTCAGTAGCCTCCATCTCTTCCTTTAGCTCCTCTACCTAGTGAGCTCAGAAGGTTATACTTCTTAACTTATGATGATTGCTGGCACAATCCCTTCTGTCTTAGGATGGGCATGCTCCAAGACAGGCTGAGAGGGGAATCAGGCAAGGATCCCAGGCAACACTGGGCAAGTGCAAGCAGGACCAGAAAAGAGAAGGATGCTGACACAGGGTGTGGTATGAATGGGATCCCACCGTGAGACCTGGGCTCAGTCTCCCTAGAAGGTGTAGGGAGCCAGGAGACATGCTTCAGGGTTGTCCATGGCCTCCCGCCTCTCACTGGCTGAAAGTTGCCTCTCGGACATTACTTCCTGGCGTTTCTGTTCTGTCCTAAGTGGTGGTGGGGGCAACGCAGATGTCATAGCCAGATAGGCAGCAGCACTGTCATGCATTTCCATCAAGAACAGTCATCGTGTGGAGTGTTGAACGTTGCTATTGTTTAAGTCAGAAGTGTTCTCCGTGTGTGTGTGTGTGTGTGTGTGTGTGTGTGTGTGTGTGTGGTGTGTGTGTGTGTGATGGGGGGGCATGCCATGGCATGTGTGTGTGTGATGCGCATGGGTGTGTGTGTGCCATGGCATGTGTGTGTGATATGGGGGCAGTGTCATGGCATGCATGTATGATGGAGGAGGTGTGCCATGGCATGTGTGTGTGATGTGTATGTTTGTGTGTGATGTGTGTCACAGCGTGTGTGTGTGTGTGTGTGTGTGTGTGTGTGTGTATGTGATGTGTGGGGGGGCATGCCATGGCATGTGTGTGTGATGTGTGTGGGTGTGTGTGCCGTGGCATGTGTGTGCAGGTCAGAGGACAACTCCCAGGAGTCAGTTCTCTCCTTCCTTGTCAGAACACGGTCTCTTGTTTCTGCACTCTGCATATTCCAGGCTGGCTTGTCCACAAACTTCCTGAAGCTCCTCCTGCTTCCTTCGCCCATTTCCCTGGGAGAGTCCTGAGAGACAGACGTGTACTGCCAGCTCCAGCTTTGTCTGTAGGTTGTAGGGATCAAACCCGGCTTGTCAAGCTGGGTGGCAGGAGTTCTCTTTGTGGAGCCATTCTGTCAGTCCTGTTTTACAACTTAAGATTTTTTTCACCGTGTGTATTCCTCACCATGGTACTGTACTACCTGGGGACGTTTTCATACAAATACATCCTGTGCATTGATCAGATTACTGACTGACCCTTTCTCGCCCCTCTGGTCAACCCCTTTTGATTTTCTACAGTTTTGTTTCTACCTTCATGTATTCAACATATGCTACAAACAATTTCATTTCTTCTTCGGTGTCCTAAAGTTTTATGTGTAGAGATGTTTCATTCTTCTGATAGGTTTACTCTTCCCCCAAGTAAATACATTTTTGAGGCAATTGTGAATGAGATCCCCACCCCTGTTTCTTTCTCAATGTGTTTGTTATTGGCCTCTAGGAGAGCTTTTTTTGTATGTTAGTTTTGTTTACAGTGTGATTGCCAGATCTAAGAGTTTGCTTAGTCTTCGGGTCTCTTAGTGTAGAGAATCGTATCACTTACAAATAAGGGTACTTCCCTTTCCTGTTCGTGTCCATTTTATGTCCTTCTCCTGCTTTCTATTAAAGATTTTCAGCACTGTATTGAGTAAGAGCAAAGAATGTGAACACTCTTGTCTTGCTCCTGGTTTTAGTGGAAATGGTCTCAGCTTTTCTCCACTTAAAGCAGTGCTGGGTGTAGGTTTGTCAGGCAGAGCCTTTATTCTGCTGCAATGTTTCATTCTATTCCTAGTCTCATCAGGGCTCTTGTTGTGAAAGGATGTTGGATTTTATCAAAATTGTTTTCTGCATCTGTGGAGGTAATTGGAAGATTTCTGCCCTTCAGTCCACTTATGAAATGCATTACATTTATTTCTTGCATATGTCAAACCATCCCTGCATCCTTGGAATAAAGTCAACTTGATCATTGTAAACAGCATTATGATATATTCTTGAATTCCGTTTGCAAGCATTTTGTGGAGAATGTTTGTGTTCTACGTCCCTCAGCTTACTAGGTCAGAAGACTGTTATTCTCGCCAGAGAGCCTTGGAGATTTCTAACAATAAAGACCAGGTAAAACACAGTTTTCAAAGTAAACAATGTCTGGTATGTACAGTAATAAGTACTTAGTTTTATTCAACAATTATATGTCAGTCACCCTAATATGTACTAGACACTAGGCTAGATGTTGAGAAAACAGTAGTGAACCACAAATATTCGCTGACACAGCTTTGAGTCAGCTTGGGAATATGACTATGTACCACATTCTCAGACTGACTTTAATTACATGGATCCAGCAAATAATTGCAGCCTTTTAATTTTGCAAATCAAAATGAACTTGATGCTCAGCAGATAACGTAGGTATGAAAAGAATACCCTCAGTATAGGATATCTGTGAGGATTTAGTAAACTAACAACTGTCAAAGTCTAGGCATTTATGAAGTTTTTTACCCATGTCTGTGTCCGAGTCTATATATTCCACAAACACAGACTGAATTTTTACTTATGCACATACAGAATGTAAAGTAATGTTTGGTTCCTTTTTTGAATGAATGTTTTTCATGCACTATTTTGATCATATTTTATCCCCCTCCCCAACTCCTCCCAGATATTACTCTTTCTTACATCCAAATTCACGTTATTTCTCCCCCATCTCTTCCTCCAAACCCTAAAAGAAAATCAAAACAAACTGACTTTAAAAAAGAAAGCCAAAGCCGGGCGGTGGTGGCACACGCCTTTAATCCTAGCACTCGGGAGTCACAGCCAGGTGGATCTCTGTGAGTTCGAAGCCAGCCTGGTCTACAGAGCTAGTCCAGGACAGGCTCCAATGCTACAGAGAGACTCTGTCTCGGAAAACAAAAACAAAAACAAAAACAAAAAAACAAAAAACAAAGAAAAAGAAAGCCAAAAAAGACAAAAAAATCGCAAAATGAACAAGAACAACATGGAGTCCATTTTGTGTTGGCCAACTAGGCTTGTGCAGGGGGCATGCCTTGGAGTGTAGTTGATATATCCAGAGACACCCCGCTGGAAAAAACTGATCTTCCCTTTCTCAGCAGGCACCAATGGTACAGCTTCTCGGCTCGGGGTGGACTTCGTGTCCACGCCCCCTTTCAGTGCTGGGATTGTCTGGCTTGAACCTGTGTGTGTTGTGTCAGAGCCTGGTGTGAGTTCTTGTGTCACAGTCTCTGTGTGTTCATGTGTGTATCAGTCCTGTTATGTCTGGAAGATGCTGTGCCCTTGGAGTCTTCCATCACCTCTGACTCTTACCACCTTTCTGTCTTCTTTTCTGCATAGATCCCTGAGCCGTAAGGAAAAGACTCTGACACATCCCATCAGGGCCAAGTGTGCCAAAGTCTCTCACTCTCTGCACACTGTCCAGTTGTGGATGTCGTTATTAATTACCATCTAGTGAGAGAAGAAGATTCTTTGATGAGGGTTGAGAGTGAGAAAGAAGAAGAAACTACGAACAAATAAATATTAACAAATACTGGTGAGGATGTGAAGGCTGGGGAGAAGGAAACCATATACACAGATGTTGGGCATACAAGTGAGTATAGCTTCTGTGGAAGTCAGCAGGGAGAATGCTTAAAAATTAAAACTAGAATTACTATAAGATCCAACTATGTCCTCACTGGGCACTTACCAAAAAGAATAAAATTCAGTTTACTATGGAGATACCTGCACATCCATATTAATCACTGTACTATTCACAGTAGCCAAACTATGGGATCAACCCAGGTGCTCATTAATGAATGAATGGAAAATGTAATAAATATACACAACAGAGTATGTTACAAAGAAGAATAAAATCATGTCATTTACACAAAAATGGATGGAGGTGAAGACCATATTTCAAATGAAATAAAGTCATCCTCGCAAAAGACAAGAGTCCCATGTTTTCTGTTATGTGTGAGGTTTAGGGTGCTAGAAGATTAAAGTGAAATGATAGGTATGGAAGGGGACAGGGAGGAGGGGAACAAAAGGGGGTAAAATGGGCCTGAATATGATAAAATACGTACATATATGGAAATGTAATAATAAAATCTATTATTTTATACAACAAATAGATGCTGAAACTATGTTTACATGTATCAAAATAAGTTTCCCCATTGATTTGTACAAATTTTGTAGTTTTATGTGCCAGGTCTAAATAGATGTTTTATTTTTAATTTAAAAAATAATACAAGGTTTGGCTCTCGTAGTTTCAGAAGGTACTATGCCAGCTGTCAATGGAGAAGACCCATCAATAATACCACTCAGCTGTAAAGTTTTCTAACCGTGACAGTGACTGTCCCAGCAAGATATGCCGATGGCATAACAGTGGCACTTACATCCTTGAGGTAATCAAGAGCTGTACAGTCGGATTCCTGTACAGCTTGATTCCTACTCACTAGTCAGAAATTCATTCCTAGTGCTCTAAAACTAGCCAACAACCAGTGGTTGGCGAGGTCATGGACCCCAGCGGAGAACCTAGCACTGCCATTTTCTAAGTCAGTAGAGTTTCTAACTATATTCTATAAGCTACCGGCAGATAAGGTGTAGCTCTCACTCCTCACCAAAGAAGCTACTCCTCCTCCCCATCAGACAGAGCGCACTATAAAGACGCACAATTGGCCAAAATGAGGATTAGAAATGACTCTTAGGAGTCCAGCCTCAATTGATACATCAGCAATGCAACCCCTGCACCTGGAGCTCAAGGAGTATAAGGGAAAAGGGGGTGGAAAGATTGTAGGAGTCAGAGGACCAGGTTACCTACTCCGGGATAGGGATTTCTAGAAATAACGGGGATACTACACCCATGAAGTCTCCATGATATGGTTGAGTAAACAAGCCCTACATAGTGACCATACCAGTCAACATGACAACATGGGCAAGGGTTTTCACAAGGCCCTACCCCTAGATGAAGAGTGACATGCAATCAGTGACAGGCTGCCGACAGAGGGAGAATCAGTTTTCTCCAGGAATGAACCCCCTGTTAGAGTGTCCAGTCCCAAGTGGTCAGTCCTAAATACATGTACATATGTGTACACTAGATGGACTCAGTAGGTTGTATAAACACACACACACACACACACACACACACACACACACACACAAACACACAAAAGTTGCAATAATAAAGAAGTCAGCAATTTGAGAGGGAGTTGGGGTACACAAGAAGAGTTGGGTTGAGGAGAAGAGGAATGGAAATGATATAAATACAATACTAGTGCATGAAATTCTAAAAGTATCAAAATATTAATAAAAAATAATTCTTTGCACATAGTGGGTCTTCAGTTAATATTGGCGGCCTGAATAGATATGACTACTCAATTTTTCAGATGAAATAAACACTCAGAGATGTTGATCAGCTGCCTAGCTTCTCAATGCTTAGTGATTTTAAAATTATAGAAATCTATGTTTGTGTAGTGGTTCTAAAGCTGCCCAGACATGTAACCTGGAATGATCTTAAAATTTCCAAGATTTAGTTTGCTAACTGTGAAATGGAAATACTATCTTCCTCATGGGGTTGTTAGCTTGAAATGAGATGACGTATACTAATTGCTCATAGTGCATGATAAGAATGATGGTATCCAAACTGAAAAACACGCCCTGAAAAGATGCAAGGTGATAACTCCAGAATCTTTTGGTCAGTTCATTGAGAGGAGCCTGTGAAGTCACAAAGCCAAAATCTAAAGCGAAGCTGAAATTCCCTCTTTGCAAGGAAGTCAAGAATATGCTGGAACTTAGGATATGAAAGTACTGTGTGGGTCTTATGTAGAATTTGGAACCCTCTCTCAGTTTTCCAAGAAACAAATACTAAATCCTGTGTCAAAATAATCTCCTATTGGTATCTTATAAAGCCACAGAGGATGGGGAGCTGAGAGGAGGTGGCACCTGAACCAGGGGTTACCATGTCTCAGAGCTTGTCTTAGATGCTTTAATTTTGCCATCTTGCTTAGTTTTATATTAATTTATATTTCCTGTCCACTATCTAAACATTCTCTCTTTCCTGGAAGCTCAGCCTTCCAGGTAATTTTTATAAATTACAATTTTTCTGAATTAGATACATTTTCTCTCCTTTCTTAGAACTAGGGAAAGATGATGTCTGAGTAAGGCCAAGTAACTTGTCAAATGTTATACAGTAAAATGGTGCTATTTGAGCTCAGAATGAACCCTAGTCATTGCTTTATACCTCAGGGGAAGGTCTGAAAGACATTTCTTGAAGAAAGATCAGCCAACCATATCAAGAAAGTCCAGAATATCCCAAGAGAAGCTGGACAACCGCAGCGCCCAGAGGTGGAAACAGAAGGATCTGTGGTGTGCCCTCATGGGGGCTTTCTCAGGGTGGATTCTGAACCTGGGAAACTTTGGACTTCCCAGAAGTTTCTGGCAGCACCTGGTCCAGCCAGACTAGTAACTCAGTACACAGAAAGGAAGGCAGGACGACCGAGTGGGGAGAGTTTGTTATCTGGTAGCCAGGGAACGCCTTGTAATTGAATTAACTGCAAACGGACCAAACAGCTCAGCAGCTTTCTCTGTGTTGTTGACAAGTGCTGGAGTTAGCCAGGAGCTAACGCAGGACCTAGGAGGAGACAGAAGGCAGGGAAAGGAGGAGGTGGCAGGGTAGAAAAATTGGGGACATGGGAAGAAAAGGGAGCCCCTTTTCCCCGAGTCTGGTTGAAGCCTCAAACCAACTGAATATTAAGGATTCTGGGATAATTAGCAGCATTTTCTGTGAAGGTTGCCCACTTGAAGACAAGCACTTGGGAGGCAGAGGCAGGTCGATCCCTATGAGTCCAAGACCAGCCTGGTCTACAGAGTGAATTCCAGGACAATCAAGGCTACACAGAGAAACCATGTTTTGGAAAAAACAAAACCAAACCAAAGCAACAATGACAAAGAATGTTAAAACAACAACAACAACACAGCAAACCAGGTTTAATGCTTAGTTATACATGGCTTGGGGCAAGGCTTCACTTCTCTCCTGAATATTTCCCAAGAGTCTCATGAGCAAATCAATTATTAGCTGTTTATCACGAGGACATTCTAACATCCTGCATAGAGAAGCTCTTATCAGTTATAACCCTGCTAGGTACACTTCAGAAACTCCGACCTTTGTAAAGATGATGAGATGGGATGCTCTGAGAAGCAGACATGGGTGTGTCTCACTCTTTCATTGTGTATCTCTCTATTAAATAGTATTCTATTAAATTTGTTTTAAAAATCTTTTAATAAAAGCTGGGCAGTAGTGGCACACACCTTTGATCCCAGCACTCGGGAGACAGAGGATCTCTGAGTTCGAAGCCAGCCTGGTCTACAGAGAGAGTTCTAGGACAGCCAGGGCTACACAGAGAGAACTCAAAATTTTTTCTTTAAATAAACTGCTGCTTCATACTGTTACTGGCTTACCTGGAAACTCCTCTCTGCCTGATGTGAAGCCGAGGATCCACCTTTACCTGAGTGGAGTCTCTAAGGGGGAAGGGAACTCCTGGGGACTGCTGAGGCCGCGTGAGGCTCCAGCCCTCCACCAACAACACAATTGCTGTACTTCTTGCCACCACTCCTCTCTACAGAAACATGTCCCAGCGAACTGGATGCGTTCTCCCGGCATTTCACGTGATATAGGCTTCCTATTAGGCTAAGCTGGAGGCCGGCAACACATCTGAAATAAATAACTATTAGGAACCCTAGGCGTGGTGGTCACACCTGTTGATGTTCTGGTACTTAAGAATTTGACATCTCAGGTGAGGAAACTGCGAAGCGGAAATGTTCCTAGATGGCAGTCTGACTGGACCACCCACTTGGGAAGCAGTGAGCTCTGGGTGCACGTGATCTCCCAAGGGCCCCCACCTTCCTAGCTGGTCTGCACAGATCTGATTTCTGTTAGTACCTGCACCCTGGCAGAAGGCTCCTCACCATGCAGGCTCCAGGAGAAAGCTGGCCTCTAGCTGACGTCCACAGACAGGACCCCATCACAAGAGCAGACGCCAGTGAGAAGCCCAAACAAGTCCAAACTTGGAATTCCTTCTGTGATTGTCCCCAGGGAAGGCCTCTTTCCTGAAGATTAACAGCCCATTTGGCCTGTGTGCAACTTGAAGTATGATTTTCCAATGTAATCAAATAATTCATCATTGAGGCAGTTCAGGGAGCTAGCTGTAATCTCTAGTAATCTTTATGTCTTCCAAACCCCTGCCAATCAGTTTCCCTAACATTCAGTTCAAAGGTGACACCCCAGTGACACCCTCCTTGACATAACTAATCCTTCATTTGGGAAACAGGCTCCTTCTGATAACAAGCTGTCTTATTTTTCATTTAAAAAAAAATAAAACCAGGAAGCCCATAAGTTGTTGAAAACGCAGAAGATGCCAACAGAAGAAAAGGAATGAAATACAGTCTTATGACCCAGAGAGAAACGATTGCCACCGAGATTCTTTTCCTTTTAGTCTGTCTGTCTTGTTCTCCCATTGTTCTGTCTGTCCTCCTCTCCCCGTGTAGAGCAATATCACAAGCATCTCTTCTATGTTGTGTGCGTCTCTAGCTCCGCCTTGACCTCTGTGTGCACAGCTGTCCGAAGCGTTTCTAATGGCATCGTCCAGTCCCATTCATTTTACTACAGTTTTGAGTACTTACATCAGTTCTCTCATTCTTTGTAGTCCTAGGAGATTGGTTTAATTACTATAATTCCAGCTTCCCTGGTAAGGACCTGGAGGACTAAAAGGTTTAAATAATTTGCCACAATGCATGACCACACTGCTAGTAAAGTCATAGCTGGAATTAGGGCCTCCATCGGGCTAACCGTGGACTTAACCACTGAACTTAAGAATCCTACATGGAACCAGGACTGGTACT